TTTACATGTATGGCTGATAGACCAGCGATTTTCCGAAAGCATAATTTTACGTCTTATATAGAAAAAATGAGAATTAGTTTCTTCAGATAATAATAAAATTATCCTTTTCTTCACATATAATATCTCCTTTTTATATTAATACTAATTAATATAAAAAAATATATTTTTTTTAATAGTCGATAAATCAATAAAAAGAGATTTTTTCTAGAGAACTTTTATTAACAGCATCTCATTAGCAAATAAGCTTTCCTCCTCTTTAATTCATCGGGTCGTCAACGATTTAATTAGATCGTACGCGACGAGTAAAATTCTATGACGTCGACGTCATTGACGACGCGTTGCCACCCCTCCAAGAAAGTAAAGCCATTCATAACTTGACTCTTACGAAAACTTTCATTACTCGTATTTCAATGTGCTCGGAAAGAAGCTATGTTTGTTTGACGGCCGCAAATTCGAGAAAATTAGAGTTTTTCCACATCAGTGAAAATGCGGGACAGCTTAATTTGAAATTTGTATTTTTCTTTAAATGGTAATTAATTCAACTTTCTCATATAAAATGCTTCTCTTTTCGCCAATATATTAATAATAATATAAAAACAGATCTGACATATTCTGTGCTTAAATATTTATTTTTATTATATGTGATATGTGTTAATCATATATTAGGAAATAGAATAAATACTATCACAAGAGAAAAGAATTTAAATAATGGAGATGGCGAAGGGGAGGAAACTTTTTTTAGAAAAATTTAAAAATTGGACATTCAATTGGAAAAACTTTTCAATATTAATTTAAAAATAAGTTTTTTTAAGGATCAAATAATCATTAGATTACATAATTTTTTAATTAAAAGAAACGTGAGATATCCGCATGTAACTAATTGTGCGTAGATTGTCTTTGCTTCCCCATTGGGTAGATTTCACACATCGAGTAGAATATTGATGTTATTGCACTTGAAACATAGACCCGCTTCGATGCAATGTTGCCGAGAAATGTGTACATGTGTGTATATCTGTGTGTTTGTATATACACGTGCGTGCGTGCGTGCGTGTGTGTGCGTGTATATTCTCCTTTCAGTCATATATCACGTATATCAGTCGTGGAAGTGCCGGTCGAAAGAGCGCCAGGGAAGTCGAACTCTTATTGCCATAAAATATAGCGATAGAGCGATGATGTAGTAGCCAGGTCAGGTCAGGAATTTTCAGCGCGACGATTGCCAGAAATGCCGAGGAATTGGATTAATATTTCGATGTAGAAATGTCGATATTAACGAGTACGAAATATTATAAATATTATTACGCCTTGTGAAAAAGAAGTTTTTATGACTGTTTTATGTTTAAATTAAAATACTTGTAAAAAATTATAATTAATTTATTAATTATAACCACTTATAATACATTTACTAACAAATTAGAGAAAATATATAAATACCAAATTTTTAAAAATTATATAGAAAAAAGTTCTACGTATATATATATATATATATATAATATATCTGATTTTGCTAGAATATTTTATTAAGAGAGAGATTATTATATTTCACCAAATATAAAATCTAATCTAACACGATCACATACACACACAAATCTACTAGCAGTAAAATACGATCCAAGACGATTGTGTTTTGCGAACCGAATCTTTTTCCAATTTCTCAATATCTGTACACATGCTTGCACCTTTGTTGGAAATTCGACCTGCTTTTGAAGCATTCCAAACTATACTACGTTCCCTGAGGACCTTAGGCTGGGTTTTCCTGCATCGAAAGAAAGGCGTATAAGTCGATTTCTCTGCCATGGAGTGCTGCCTAAGCGAATCAAACCTGAATTTTTCAAGTCTATCTCAAACATATTCAAATGTATGCCGGTGATCTTTTTTATTAGGAAACAAAAAATTGATGAAATAAATGAAAATAATACAACAATTTGCTCTAATATAACAGTATCGAAAATAATATTAATAATAATAAATAGATTCAATAATAAAAATAATAATAAATAACAAATTTATTCAATATATATATGTATAAAGACTACAAAATTTTTCTTCTTGACTTTTTTAGATACTAAATCGTTTTTTAGATGTCATATTGTACGCAGATTTTTTTTATTTTAAGAAAGTTAAAAAGCGAAAAGTTTCATATAAAATTCTTTAGTTGTACTGTGATTTTGTTTCACGAATCACCGAATTTTTGTTGTCCAAAACAACGCATACAATATAAAATTCATGTTTCTAAAAGACGCGTTCATGCGAAAAGAAGCCGAAAGAGAAAAAAGAAAAAAATCGATTGGTTTCGCTTCTTTTGGCAGAAGTAATTTTTCCATATTTCTCTACAAAAAGAATCTAGCAAAAATGATATTGGTTCCGAATACGTTTCTGCGCGTATATGTTGAGTCGTTCCGCAAAGGATCGTTTTTTTTTGCTTAACAGAAGTAGAAAATATTTATATTCCTTAATAGCGTCTTACGATAGATAAATATTAGTAGGAATTTTCTCTCTCAATCGCCTTTCAAATATTTCGCAATATATTTATTTTTTATTTATAATGTGTTCTTATTTTTTTACGGGATATCCTCCATTTTTATTAACATTTTATGGAAAATTTTGTAAAAATATTTTAATAAAATTAAAAATTGAAGCAAATTGATATATTACTTCTCAATTTTTATACAAAATAATCGTATATGTATATTTTATATCTATTTATTATATTACATATCAAAATAGATGCCTTTAATCTAAGACATTTCATAAAAGATGTCATCAAATTAATTTTTTTTTCAGTTTTCTATCAGAATTAATATAAAAATAAAAAAATTCTTTTGATCATAAAGAATAAACACAATTTTTCAGTTTATATTTATTTTTTTCAAAAGCGCATAGGGTTTATTTTATTTTATTTTAAAATATTTTAAAGCGCGAGATAGCGATGACTACTTATCTGCAATTAAAACGATCTTAAGTATAAGAATAGACTATGAATATGAGTCATAGAAACACAGTTCACGAAAACTCAAAATAATTTACTAGCGATGGATGCCGATGCAAAAAGGCACGAGATCTTGGCGCTTTTACTACGATTACGTCGTAACAATTTTTGAAAAATTATGACCTCTCTCACCAAGGAAAAATGCAAATTAGTCAGACAATCTGCTATTAAAAAGATATTCAAAAGATTTGGATTCTCTGTGTATGTGTATGTATGTATATATATGTATATATATATAGCTAGATAAATCTATCGTTTCTTAAATAAAATAAAACATTCATAAGTTTTATACTGAATTCAATCAATATTTCCTTATAACAATTTAGTTCAATACCATACTCCTCAATACTTTCTCAAATATTAAATATAATAATTTTCTAATATATTTTAATTTAAATTTAAATATTTATTAATTTAATCCGAATTAAATATTAATCATTTCCTAGAAATAAATTAAAACTAATTAAATATCAATCCTCATTAATTAAAATCAAGTGGAGGATGCATCAATCATCACTAGTAATTAAATCCAAGTTAATTAAGTATCATTTTCACTAATTTAATAATATAATCAAGCTCAAGTAGAGAAATCGCGATAGTGTTCAATATTAATGCCTAAGATTAAGACAAATCTTAAATACATATATTGTGGTCGGCTCGAAAACGTGATTTACAATCCCAGCTTGCTTCAAAAGTTATGAGGGTAAAGCCGTGACTCCCAGCTACGGGGAGGAGGGGATTGTTTGCACTCTGCATTTAATATCGCGCATTTAATTCCCCGTAGGATGCATTTCAGGAAGGAAGGCGACCTGCGTTAAGGTAAACCTGGGCCGCGGGTATGACAGCGGCTTTCACAGCCGGGATTTCCTGCAAGCGGGAACGAAGACAGCACCCCGAAGAGACCGGAAGCGTGGCTACGATGGTAATTCCTGCGCGAGGCGGAATTAAGGGACTCCCGAACAAAAATGGGGCAAGGAGGGGAAAGCGTGAGACGCGTGATTTAAGTCGTAAGCGGCGAGATAACGCCATCCTCAGCGTCGTAATTTCGCCAAGACGAACGGTTATTGGACGAACTTCCGCGCATAATGTGCCGGTGCTACCTTTACATCCCTTTTTTTTCTTAATCAATTCCAAAATGTATCTTGAAAATTTGGAGAAATGTAGATGATATGTATTCCTTCTTTCAAATTAATAGAAATGGATGTAATTGATAAAATAAATTAACAATTAACTTATGTTCAATTAATAAGAAATATAATTGATAATCAATAAGGGTAATTGATTAATGTCTGACTAATTTAAAAAATTAATTAATATTTTCATATATAAAAAAAGCTTAACAAATATATTATACATTTACTTCTGTATATTAGACTTGAATTTAAATTCAAAATAAAAAATTAATTATATTTTTTACATTGAAAAAAAAGAAATATCAGTCCAAAATCAAGAGATCGATAGCAAAAACGACGGGAGACATTAATCGATCTTGATTCAGTAATCGATATGATTTTATATCTTTCGCAATTTTATCATCTTATATTACATTACACAATCAGTCAAATATACATATATTGCTTTATCAGTTTGTTGATTTATAGTGCTACTAAGAGTTGATTATGCTAATAAAAATTCTTTGCTTTATTATGAAAGCATTATATCCATTTTGCAATTGTGAGAAACTCCGGTTATAACAAAGAGTCTGATGCATTTTCTGTACTACTTATTTTTTTCCACTTTCCCTAGAGCTTAAACACACACTTATTCTGCGTCAAATACAGGAAGCAAATGCAAGAAGAAAGGAAGAAAGTACAGTTAAAATGAATAGCCCTATTATGTTTCTATGTCTCCTTTAGAAAATGCAACATTAAAATAAAAGCTTCCAAGACTTTTCTTGAAACACTGTTGTTATTTGTAGGTTTATTTTAGAGTGAGCTATTTAATCATAATTTAACTTTTACACAGCAAATGTGAAAATTTGTATTATATCAAATAATTGTTTAATAAACTTAACTGTATGATGAGAATCTCTCACTGAAATCACTGTCGTGTCTGTGCTCGAATGTCTTTCGTATCTGTAAAAAAAGATAAATTAATCTTATTAGAATTATTGCAGTAAAGGATTATATTATGCGAATATATTTATATTATCAATATTATTTATTATTGGTCTATATACAACAAGTGAATGAAACAACTACGATGTAAATATTACATTGAATTATTTCTTATAGCTAAATTTTTTCTCTTAATTTATATTTCTATTCAAATCGTTTAATTTAAAATATTTAAACTTGTTTGCCCAAAATATCATTTTTACACTTGTGCTGTTATTACACTCAGTTTTCAATTATAATTTACAATGTGTTAATATTCCATCGAAAAATATTGAGAAAGAAATTAGAGCTGCGAAATGTTCATCTACAACATTAGCGAGGATGAGTTTAGTGAGAAGGTGCATATACAATGGAATTTTCGCCGGCAGCAATTAAGAGTAGAATTTGTAAATTACGTCATAATATGCAGTGACAGAGAGGTAAATGTCTGCGAGATGATTTAAGAAAAAAAGAGACGAAACGAGAGAAAGAACGAGAGAGAGAGAAAGAGAGAGAGAGAAGACGAAATTAATAAGTATGACGAAGATACCCGCGCAAACTATAATATCGCGAGCAGAGAGAGGAGCGATATTTAAGATGAAATATATACGAAATACGATGCAATGCAACGAAAGATATATCCCAGCGATGCCAACTAGAGGAGATTAGATCTCGGCGATTCGTTTCGAAATTAAACTCGCTTTAATCCTGCGCAACTCCTACGATTAATCTTCCCGCGTACTCTTCAGCTTACAGTTCTTAGATTCCAAAAGTAGCTTTGCTTCTTTTATATTAACTTTGCGATCTGTTGAACTGTAAGGTTCATTAAAATTAGCCCTTTTTATTTTTCATTTTTTCCTTGTTACGCTTGTCTTTTTTTAAAGAACGTTTTAAATTCTTTTTTATTTTTTGTTTACAAGTACGTTTGCTCCATATTGACATTAGTACTACTACATTCTGAATTTTGTAACGCAATAGCAAAATGAAATTTAGACAATTCGAGTATTTTTTAATTAGGCAATAGAAAGTTACTATGAATGAACAGAGAAAAAGAATAAAACATTTTCGATATCTTTTATATTTTATTTTTATATTTATATTTTAGATACATATATATTACGTTATCAATTATTAGTAATAATTATAAGCATTATTAAATTGTTACATTATTTTAATTAATTATGCTGATTTAATTAATTATGCTGATTTAATTAATGTATTATGATATTATTTTTTAGCATTTATACAAAATGTTCAATACGTAATAAAACGGAGCTGTCTTTGACACATTTGGAGATAGAAAGAAATGTCACAAAGTAAAATTAAATAATTTTAGACTCTTCACATTTTTATTTATCTTTATTTACGTTCCTGTATGTATAAATGCAATTGCGAAACTTTATATTTTTTTTTGTAAGTAGAATCTCATACTTTTTTGAATGCATGTTGCAATTTCTCATCTTATACAAAACTATGAGAGAATATCGGGTTCCATAAAAAAATGTAACATTACTATTAAGAATATGAAACGTCTAAAATTATTTAATTTTATCTTGATGATATTTTTTATAATATTTTTTTTTATTTCCATTTAAAAATACAACTTGACTCAGCTGCGTGGGAAAGACACCTTGAATAATCATTTATTCATCTGATATATATTATATGTATATTATAGAGAAACTTTTTTCTCTATTATAATAAAATAAACGACGCGACGTGAGAATATCGATTAATCTATTATGCATATATGTATAATGCAAGCTTGGAAAATTAATGGAGAGAGTGCTGGAATGTTTGACTAAAATTGAATAATATATGTTCTTGTAAAAACAGAACATCGTGTGAATTCTCCCCCGAGCGAAGAGCTTAACTTAATAAAAGTTTCACTTTTTTTATTTCTTATTGCATCTTTTTGCTTCACTTTTCTCACTTCGCGTTTCCGATTAGTTGCCTGGATATCGGAACAGCTGTCGCCAACAGATTAATGGTCCATTATCGCAAATCGCTATCCTTCCGATTTCTTAAAAAGCGTCATTTCAGGCCATCATAAAGAAAAAAGATAAATTACTCAGAAAAATATATGTTTCTTTTTTCGCAAAATTATTTAATTTTTATATTTCTTACAAGTTCTTTTTTTAATTTTAAAAACTATTAAAGAAGTTTAGAAAAATGTTAATGTATGTAATATGTATTATATATGCAATACTTTCTAAAAATTTCAAAAGTTCTTAATATACACAGTAATTTATATTAAAAAACCCTAATATATTTTCTATGAATTTATATGTATAAAGATTTTCTGTTCTTACAATTTATGCTAGTAATATCACAAATTTATTGTTTTATTACAATATAATCTTAAAATAATTTTAAACTTCAAAATTTAGCAAAATCAGGTTAGATTATTAACTTACTTTATTTATTGTAGCATATGTGTTTAAAATAATATCATTTAGGCAAGGTATTGTCTGAGACAATCTGCAACATAATAAACTACACTATTTTTTTGATCACTTTTGATATATTTAAAACAGCTTATTCATTATTTCATCTTTTCTGTTTTATATTTTTATTTTTTTAGAAAGGAAATCTAATAATGTCAGTTTTAAAAATTGAGTTTTCTCTCTCTCTTTCTCTCTCTCTCTCTCTCTCTCTCTCTGAGCGCTTGTCCACATACACAATCAAAAGATTAATTTTTATTAAAAATTGAAGTTGTAAATATGGAAAATGGATTGAACAGCTCTCGTGCTAACAAAATATTATATAGCAAATATTTAAAGAGAGAGAGAGAGAGGTATATCAGAGGTTTCAAGAAAACTCCTGTTTTAATAAAAAATGTGTTTTTTCACCATTTAATATCATAAATAAAATAGAACTCAACTAATTTATTATTTGCAATCTCGTTTCAAATATTAAGGGACTATAGTTTTTCCTTCAATCAATATCTTTTAACCATCATACATTTTTCAAATAGTGTATATTCCTCTCAAGTTTATTTGTCTATAATTTATAAAAGTGGTCTCATCGGTAAATAGTACTTTAAAAATATTATACCGTTTAATTTTCATTGAAGATAATGCATATTTTTTTCAAAATCTTTACCAGAATACTCTGAATGAATTGATATGTAAATAGGATTTATGCTGATGTAAAAGTCGTTTTAAGCTTGTTCTGTTAATTCCATTGTCTTCTTCAAGATGCCTTAATTGAATTAACATGAGAAGATTCTCAATAGTTACCGCCAAAATCTTAATTGCGTTTACTTTATTCAATTTTAGTTTATCCAAACTATTATTTTCTTGAAGCTTTGTAATTAAATTAAAATAAACAAAAAAATAAACATCTGCAGTCAAGAAATCTTTTTCCAGTCGGACTGCTTTTTTTAAATACTATCGACTTTCTCTATAGATGAAAATTGATATGATTGAATGTTGATTTTCTATCTCTCTTCTCTCTCATTTTCTATTTCTATCTCCCTTCTCCTTGAATTCTGCATCAAGAAATATATTTATCGGCAAACTAGAAAATTATATTAGAAATTATCGACGTACTTGTCTGTTCTATATTATATTCTGCTCTCAAGTAAATTTAATTGGAATAGAAAAAAGAGAGAATAAAGAGTTAATAATCTAATCAAATTTTTTTTATAGTTTAAGATTGTTTCATAATAAAATACATATACATGCACACATACTCACTCTCGCTCAAGCATATACGCAATGCACCTAAGCGACTCAAAAAATAACTTCCTCGAAACTAAGTAACTGAAACACTTTTATATAAAACTCATATTTTATAAGAAAATCGGCTAAATGTCACTTTTATTCCGAGATAGAACTTAAATTTTTGAACTTCTCACAAAAATAAGACACCATATCTTGGGGAAAATCTTCGATCTCGGCTATATATTTTGATGATAAAGAGAGGAGAGCAGCAAGAACATTCCAGAAACTTGCAATACGTCCATATTTCGGCCAATGGATACAATTTTATATGCTGATATATATTTTTAGTTCATAAACGAATATTTATTTGCAAAAATTATCTCTCAGCTAGTGGCATATCTCACAACATGAAGTGTAAGATAAGTTTTGAGATATTTTACTAAAATAAACTTTGACTAAAGAAGACTTATCTTCTTATAATTATAGACTTTCGTATAGCTTCGAACTAATTAATGGTTAGATGAGACATTTTAGCGACTAGGGCTCTTTGTTCGTATCGGAAAAATTTCACTATTGGAGAATCACGATGAAAGAAAAAGAAGAAATGACAAAATATTTTTAAAGATTCTATATGCTGATAACTATCATGTATATAATAAATTAAAAAATAATGTTTGTAAATAATTAAAAAAAAAAATCTTCTTGCAGAAATTATATAATATATAAGCGTTGCTAAAACTTTTCGTTACATTTTTTGGCAATTAATTGATATATCATAAAACATAATATTATATAATAAAACATAATATTGTGTACATTATTTACATAAACACCAATATCTAATAAATAATAAAATAAAGGAATATAATGTATCAATCTTACAATTTTAAAATAAAGTTATATAATTTATCAATCGTACAAAAAGATTTCCCAAAAATAGATCTTTTTCTTTACTAGAACAGAAAAGGAGGAGTAGGAAGAATGTGACACTCTATCAAATATTTCATTTTAAAAATGAACACCTTCATTTTATAAAATATACGCATATTTTTGGAAGACGAGTTCAAAAATTTAAGTTCTATCCTGCAATCAAAGACATTTAGCGGATCTTCTTATAAAATATGCTTAATTGCATATCAAGAACATAAAACAGTTAAATATATCACAGATATAAATATATATATTCTCGAGCGGAAACTGCTTGTCTGCGTTTGAAACGTTTGCGTAAACCAGCGTTGCAAATTGATATTACAGAAAAAGAGAGGCAGATAGAAAGGGAGGGAGAAAAAAAGACCCTTCGACCCATCGAAG